ACACACACACACACACACACACACACACACCCTGAATCGTTACAACATGCTATTTCGCATTTACAAATATGCAGGAACGCATAATTAGTCTGAGAAGACTGGCCAGTTTGAGTGGAGCACAGGGCTTTTTGGAGGAAGGCCGTCAAGCTGAAGAGCTGGTGCTAAGAGCGATGTGGGAGTTGGCAGGGCTTGGGTCGCGCCACAGCCAGCTCTTCAAAATCTGCCTTTGAAGAGTGCTGTTTGTGTTGCACACTGCGAGATTGGATTTTGATCTGGACAGAGCTACGGGTTTCTGCTAGCGGCTGATTACGTATCAGGAGCTCGACGTTATGTTGGGAGGGGGCAGGGGCATTTGCAGTGCTCTGTGTTCGACTGTGGATGGATGTTATTGCAGAAGCGAAGTTCGGGAAAGATCTCGGCGTGGCAACGTTTGGGTCGGCGCCTTGGTTGTTCGATTGTTTGCAGCCGAGAGTACAATTGGTCTGGTATGTTTCTCGTATCTTCTCACTTCACTTCAGTGAGCCTCTGCCTCACGATTATTCCGCGTTTGCTTACAGGCGTGCACGCACTGCTTTCTTTTGCAGATCGTGTTACTCGTCCTGGCCCCCAATTTGCGCGCCTGCTGCGGCGCGAGCTTGGCTTGCCCCGAAATGCAGTCAGAGTCGCGCAGAAGACTGATCATAGGGCTCTGAGTCGAAATAGCGGGGCAAACGAGCAACCTGTCCTGGAATTCCCTCATAACTGAACTGCTTGCAACACGGAAATATGTGGCAAATACACACACATAGGTGATTGGGGTCTCGTGCTGAAGCAACAATTGAAATGACTTAATTGCGAGGTTGCTGCATGCTGCTCGGCTCTGTACGATTACTGTGAACAGGATGCGGTGTATGACTTGGAGGGCTGGAAGAGAAGATAACAGCATGCATGCTGTGGATGATGAAGTGGGATTTGTCTAAATCAAAGAAATCGCAGCGGACTGGCTGCATTCAGGCACTCTTCATACTACGCGCATGAAAACGGCATCAAAAAAGTTTG